CTGGTTTATACTATAACTCCCTATTTGTAAATATAAGGTAAGAAAAATCCTGTCCAACAGTTGAAAAACCTTCCTAGCGGTCACCTTCTTGGCTTATGATCCAACTCAACCATATCAATTGGGTCACCAATCTGGATTGCACTAACATCAAATAGGGTAGTGAGGTCTGACCTGCATTATACGAAGTCTGCCGTGCCAGTTTGGGGAAGTTGACTGATTGGATACAATTTTATTCAGGAAGCCATTCAACCTGAATAGGAGGTGGTGCTACGAAGTCTGTCGTGCCAGTTGGGGTTGTAGGCTTATACTGGAGTTAGACCAAAAGCCTTTCCTCGTGCAACCTTTCTTGCTTCGACCTGTTTTCAGCCCGCGATCGTCAGGAAGACCAGAGGTCACATCTTCGTGCAGCCTAACTAGATTTGGAAGTGAATTGTCGGCTGATTAGGTACGACATGAATTGGAAGCCAGTCAACCAATCATGAAGGTGATAAATTTTTGTAACCAGGTGGGGTTGAACCCTAGACCTTCTCCTGGTAACCTATGGAGCATTACCACTGTGCTATAGATCCATAGGTCAATTATTATTATAATCTTTTATTATTTATTTAAGATATTTATTTATAATAATTTATTTAAAAATATATATATTAAATTATAAAAAGTAATCTGAAAGTCAATAGTATAATAATTAATACTTTCAAGTTTAAATTATAAGATATTAGTTTAACTTTAGATAAAGGCAATTGAATTAATTTATAAATAATATCAGAATATTATATCTATTAAAGCATCATTTCTTATAAGAAACTATTTTATCTACTTATTTAATAAATATTGAGATTATGGTCTCTAAAGAAAATAATATAATATAATGACTATTCAGTTAATATTATAATAATTATTGAAAATAAAAATATAACATATTTGAATATATAAATAAAATTGTACTTTATCTTAACTAATTTCAATTAATATTTATCCTATAGTAATTAAAGTTATAATTTAGAATATTCCAATTGAAAAAGAATTTAAAAAGATAATATTTATTATAAGTAATAAAAAGAATTATAACTTATATAAGTTAAAATAAAAAAAAAATACTGAATTAACTTCTTTAAATAGTATTTTTTTTCTATAAACCAGATTTAAAATAAATTATATAGTTTAAAATAATAATAAAATTTTTATTTTTTATAGATTTGTCTTTTGTATTTTTGATAAAAAACATTATAGATATTAGGTTTTTTAATATTAAAATAAAGATATTATATAAGAGATAATCTATAAAAAATATATAATATATTAATTTGTATAAGTTCTTAAATATAATTTGAATATTACATATTGTTAGCCTGGTAAAAATCACATGGTATAGTCACATACCATGACTATCGTGTCATGTATCCTGGAAATTTAGGATAGCATTAGTAATTAATATAGCAAAATGTAGTCATAGAGGCTTATGTAACTTACCCATAGTTTATTTTAGCCCTGATAGTTTAGCATCATCAATTTATGCATCAATAATATAGCTGTGGGTAGGGCTCCTAACAATACCACTTTGATACCACTTCGATACTTAAATTTACTATAAAAACATATGAGTAGGTCACAACTCATATATTAAATTTACTATATATCGGTACCATTTCGATACCAGTTCAATACCAGTTCGGTACTTTTTCAGAACCCTAGCTGTGGAATTAATAATTAATAAGCAGGTGGGTAAATAAATAGCAGCAGTGTAGAAGAAAGGAAAAAAAAAAGAGACATGAACACGCACAAAGTAAATTAATAAAAAAAAGGATTATAAGAGAAACGTTAGTTACTCTGAGTTGCCATAAAGAGAAAGTAATAATTAACAACTTGCCTTTTTAAGTATGCACCATTTTAGGAAGGATAACCACCACTAGAAGAATATAGCCCAGGGTATCAGAAAGGAAATGAGTGCCAGGAAAGAAAAGAAGAAAAGTTAATTAGTACTGCCCAGCTAAATTAATCATACATGTCTCAACTTATCTTTAGTAATGCGAACTTTGGACTGGTGAAGTGACTGACTCTCCATTTTCCAGCTTAACAATATACTGTATATCATATAATAATTGTATTTTTTATACTTGGACATCTTAAAAAAATTAAATTATAAAAAAATATACAAATAAATAAAATTTAAAAACAACAATAAAAGCAAATAAAATAAAAAAATTATAAAAAATATTTGAAACTTAAAAAAAAAAATAACAATATAAAATTATAAAATTAATTATAAAAATTATAGTAAATAAAAAGAAATAAATAGAAAAAATATATATAACAAATATAACAATTCAATCAAATTTTTATGTTATTTTAGAATATATTTTTAAAATATAAATTTATCAAATAATTCAATTTGTCAAATATTATTATAAATAAAATTTTGTTAATTAAAAGTATACAATTTGCTAAATATAGTATAATAATAAAGTTTTTTAAATTGTAAGTTATCAAATTATATAATGCCAAATAATTCTATGATACTGTAAATTTATAACAATTAACTAATTATTATTACGTATTACAATTTTATTAAATTATCAACAAAAAATCAATTGTTAATTGTTATCATCAAATTTTTATATAAGTAATTTAAATTTGTTAAATACTACATAATTATTATTAAATTTTTATAAATTTTTAAATGCCGAATGACATAAATTAATGAAATAGTAAAACTTTGACATATATTTTTATTAATAATTTTAAATTAAATTGGTTGTGATTTGATAACTAAATAACACCAATAAAACGGTAGTTACTTATACAAGGAATTGCAAATTTATCTAATAAAGTAATGAACCTTGATCAAATCAAGAATTTTCCACATTATAGATATTTTTTAATTATAAACACTTTATTGTTGATAATTCACACATCTGATATTGCACTAATATACACATTGATAAGTTATGCAATTTTTTTACAATTTTTTTAACCAATCAAATTTACAATAAAATACAATTATAATGTTAAGCTATAAAAATGCACAGTCTAAAAAAATTTAAAATCTGGTTTGATCAAATAATCTTCCAAATAACAACTTTCCTTTCTGTTCTATTTCTTCTTCAACTGGTTTATCAGCAGGAGAGGTTGGATCTGAAGACATTTTCGATGCTATTTCGTTAATTGAACTCACAATCTGATTTGAAGACGAACTGGATTCTCCACGATTCTTTGATCTAATATTAGGTTGATTGATGAATAGCATGTTAAGGTAAAATGAAAGGGAATACATAAAGCCCTGTTGTTTACTCACTTTAATCTTATTGATTCTCTTAATTTTCTCTGTTTCGCTTTCATCTTTTCGCTGTCAATTAACGCTTCGCCTGACAACTCCAAACCATCTTCAGAATTAAAAAATTCATTCATCGGATCCGAAATTATCGATATTGGTGAGGCCGATGCAGAATTTATTATATCAGGTGATACGTCTGTAGATATCATCGGCCGCACGCGTCGTGGTGTTATTAGCTTTTCCCTTAGTAATGCAGGTGAATGAAAGAGGATAGTGCGCAGGGCATCTATAATAAATAAACGGGTCAATAATGTGGTGTATTATGCTTTCAATTAACTGAGTACATTTCACCTTTTTTCAAATGTTCCAGGAAATCCAACCACGACCATGTCTTGTTTCGGTATTCCAGTGTAGGCATGCGAATTACAAAATCATATAAATCTTCTAAATTTTTTTCCTTAGCACCCTACATAGTTTTGTTTTTATAATAAGTTTGTTGTTTAATTATTCAAGCATACAAATGATAAAAAATGTTACCTGATAACTGAAGCTATGCGTTACTCCGGGTACTTTTATGTAAACAAAAGCTCTATTTTGAGACGCTCTGGTCTTCATCAACTCTAATTCGTATGATCGCTCAACTTTGTGTTCAGCGGTTTGTTTTGAAATGACTTTCTTTGAAGATGATACCTGACCTGTCGAACTAGAGTTATATGACGATCCGTCATCCGATTGGACTAGGGTATCAGCTTCACTTGAAGATTCCTGAGTTTCATTGGCATCGTCGTGGCCAGTCTCCCGTAAACTTTTGGAGCTCTTCTCTGAAGATTCGGCTGATGCTCTCTTAGTGGAAGTACGATGATTACGAGAATTTTCAATGGTTCCTTCTCCAGATTCATTAGCCATGTAAGCTTTCTTTTTCTCCGGAAATATATACATCATGATAAGTTTACCAACATCATACTGCATTTGGAACTTGAGAGGAGACATCTTGACTTCAAAATGCTCAACGATATCAATTCCAGCGACTGGTTCCATCTGTTTCCAATAAACTCGTATCATCTTCTTATTACGACAAAACTCTGCAAGACGTTGAGGGTCAGTGATATATGGACATATCAGCTCTTTGAAAACGGGTGATGGAAGCCTATTTTTTACAAGCAGGTGGTCGATCTCTAATATATACATATTTGAGTTTTCTTCCTTTGTCATCCAAACGAATTGTGCATTCTTTAGTGCCCATTCGCAAAACGAAGCTCGATCACCGTTCTGCATTATCCATGTAACTTCGTCAACAGCGACGACAAATTTCAATGCCATCTTGCTTTCCGCCTTCTTCTTTTTATTCTGTGATGCTGTGATGGCTTCCATGAGTAAGCATAATTCTTCCTGTAATTCTGCAAGCTCAATTTCGAGCAATCGAACTTCTTTGATGCCATTCGTGTCTAGCTCATCCGAACATATTTTAAACTGAAGTCTCATCTCGTCTAATTGGCGAATCTGCTCTTGTAATGCTAATACCCTCTCGGCTGCGCCATCCAGATCGTCCAAGTCCGCTGCAAGTAAGAACGCATTCAATCGTTCGGAACGTTCTTTTTTGGCGGGTTCACGATACATAAGAAGATTCGAGACAATATCAACCAAGATACAATATTGATTTGACGTGGCAGTTAACCTGATTGTCGGAAAATCTATGTACCACAGATCCATCCTTTTGTGGAAATCATCCTGATCCAAGTCCTCCGTCATATTTTTCTCCGAAGCTTCGTACTCGTCCTTTTTATGGTCGCTACCTTTTATACGCAGATTATTATATTTGTCATATTGCATTGTGGCCGAAGTGCGCCTCACAATTCTTTGAAAAGGAAATGCATTTGAATGGTTGATGAGTGCTTCAATTGGAACCCAAACAGGCCAATTCTCATTGTTTTTAGAACCATAGTTGTTAGCAGAAAGGACCCTCGAGAAATCACTACTAAAGTCTTCCTTCGAGCTCGTGAAAAATTGTGCATTATCCAATCCAAAGAAAGTTCTGGTTTTAACCACTTCATTGATGAAATCTCCTTCGGACCAATCTTCCAAGATGGAGAATGTTTTTAATTGGGCCCGCTCCATACACATCGTAATGGCGTCATGAGGATTCTTGTCACTCTGAAAATTAATCTGTGGATTTATAAGTTGGACAATATATTTTTTCCATAGGGAATAGCCTTCAGGTACGTCATCATTGATATTTTCCGAGTTCCGAGAAGGTTTATTACTAGGCTTGGTTGTTTCATCTGATATAACAAAATTGGCCTTCTTTTCTCCAACAAGTTTTCTCAACATCTCTGCAGCCATGGTGGCATCAAAGTCGTAATGGTCGATCCCGTTCCCGATTGGATCTAAATTTTCATTCAGCGATTTTTCGTAATTCCTCTTTTCTATTCTCTGGAGAATATTCTTTTGCATATCTCGAATAAACTTGACAGCATTCATTGACATGTAATAAGTAAGCCCCTGATGCCTCTCTATAAGATTCCATAACCTATAAACTAAATTACGCAGGGAATTGTTCCATATTGTTTCCGCGTTGTGAATCACGAAACAATGTTCGAAATGTTTATGGGAAGGAGAATTTGAATTTGAACTCCCAGCATCCTCATCTCCATGTTCATCCAATTCAATCTCTTCTTTAAAGTCGACAGACTCTGAATTTTCATCAATTCTATGTCCCTTGATCAGATTGAACCTCCGAGTAAGTATTGCAACGTTCCGTCGAACAACCTGAAGCTAAAAAGAATGTATTGGTTAGCTTTGTATCGCAAAAAAAATCCCTTAAACTGAATCACGCAAAAATGTGAGATGTACTTTTTCCTGTAATTCTTGATTTTCCGGATCATTTTTGATTTCCCCTTCAATCTCTGCTAGCAATTTCTTCTGGAGTTTGAGATTTTTATCAATTCGGGTCAGCCTATCGACGAGAAAATCCAATTTAACTTTCCCCGTCTCTATAATTATAATGAATTGATTTAAATTAAAGAAAAACGAACGTTATTAGATTTAGAAAATACAAGTGTACGGGTACCTCGCGCCTGACCCATAAGACAAACGTGGGTCCCTTGATCAAACTTTTTTTCTTCTTCGGTCTCGTGTTTGTCGGGCTGTTTATAGTAGTTCATCTGCGGGCTTCTTAACAAGGGCAGCACTCTTACGCCAGGCTTTGCTTCTGGCAGCACCCCATCCAATTCCACATAATCTTCTTCGTCAATCCAAGGCGCATCTTCAATATAATTCATCAAGAAATCCTTATCCTCACCCATCGAAAATTCATCGTGTTCGTCTTGATTTTGTGATGTATTCGTGTCCATGTATCGGACGACGATACCACGTACGTCCAAATCCTTTAGATCTACTTCGGCCTCATGCAGGATGATGTCTCGAATTTTTACTTCCTTGCCATCCAAAAAAATTGTCTTTTCTTGCATCCGGAGATGTAAGTCGTGCTTAAATCTTCCTATTTTAGCTTTTATCCCCAGAATATTTGTCCTCTCATTAAAAGAATCGTAAGATGAACCCTCCCTGTAAAAATGACTAAGAAATAATGTCCCTACAAAAATTTTAACCTTGATGGATTGTAAAAATTTCCCGAGTTTTGGAGATGGAGATTCGAGAGAGGGAAATAATGCACCCTGACGAGTTGGTATTGACATCGCAGGGTCAAAAAGCGATGCCCAGGATAAACCGTGTTGAAGTGACTTGGGACTAAAATGTATAGAGTTTTTCAGGCGATACATTTCCTCGCTAGTTAAATCCACAGATTCATCCCATTCAAGTGGGCATGTGACGCTTATAGAAAGATGAATGACATCCGATCGAAAGTTCTTGAAAGAATCGTAAATCTACAAAACAAAACAACACCTTAGAAACTCTTCGTAAAATACAACGAAACCACAGTATCAAAATAAGCAAATGCTCTATCACCTCTCCCGCAGGTGCAATGGCATATTCGGGCATTCTAGTAATAATTTTATAATGCGGAACGAAATCTTCATACCGACATTTTCCTTCTTTCTTGCACTTTGCACATTCACCGTAATTCTGACGGCAGCTTCGATTAAAGTGACAACCCATCCCGTATCTAACTCCCCCGCAAAGTTTCATGATACATTTAAGAAGTCGACAATTTGGAGAATCGGAAACCAGTGTGCTCTCGGTACTTGTACTACCAGTCGAGTTCCTCAAACGGTGGCTATTTAATTCTCGATCTTCCGGCTTGATGTTATCTGGAGACAAGCTGCCATCGGCTATTACAGCGTTCAAATTGGGAATAGCAAGAGTGAATTCGTCGCTATCAACCTGTAATACTTCATTCTGATCATTTGCATACCCAAGCTTTATTTTAACGTCCTTCCTCCAACACAGTACGAATCCTGCTCCTTTTCCGGTAATAAGATAGGGATCACGGGTGCCTTTTGAGAAGAATTGCACATCCCCAGAGCCATTGAAGTCCATGAGAACTCGAAGGTGCATCATGAGTCTCATTTTATCCCAGAATCCGACACTGCTGGAAGGATCGGGGTTTGGCTTGGTGAAACTTTCGAAAACCTTTGCCACATCCTGAAGTGCAGGTTGCATGAATATACCCCAAGAAATGACCGTCGGTTTTGAAGTATTTACCTTAATTTGAAGGTCGGAATATATCTTAACAGGTGAAATTGTTCTCGGAATGACAATTTCATACTTAGTATCATCACCTTTGATATTCTGAGGAGACATAATTTTAACGACCGCCTTTTTCACAGATTCTGTTCCCTGTAACTCCTCACCGATGACCAAATCTCCTTCTATCGTGCAAGAATACGGGCGTTTACCGTTGCACAGACTGGCAGACGGAATGCACGCCAACGGCAACGGGTAGTCGCGAATTTCCGCCCAGGCCTCCTTAAATCTACAATTCAAATGCATTGGCACCAAGAGAGTAAATCTTGTATCCAAAGGCAATCCTTTTCCTATTCTGTTCAAATACTGAGGTAATTCATCGATAGGAAATGAGGGAGTCGATAGTGTCAACAGAAATTTCTCCACCGTCACTCTGAACAAAGCAGGATGCTGTGAAGGCTTTGTTATCAAAATAGGCAAATTTTTCTTAAAATCATTAACCTTTCGTCGGTCTTTCTTTTTTTCTGCACGAGACGCCTTGATGCATTTGATCCAACTTCTTGAATTGTACATGTCCAAACGAGCTCGTGCTTCACTAATCGAAATATTCGCATCAGGTGAAGGTTGAGGACGGAACTTATTGAACTGAGAGTTCTTGGAACGTGGGTCTGTTACTATTTTTCCGCGTGACATCTTTCGTCCCCCATTCTTTGACGAAGTAACATCATAGTCTTCTACGATCAAACCTTTGCCGCTCGTCTCATCTTGTGGATTCGCATGAGACCGGATAGAATTCACCTTATCTTCAAATGCAACTTCTCTTTCCAATCGTGCTCTTTGCTCGAGACAACCGAGTTTCCATATCACCGATAGTTTCCCCTCGAACGGATCATCCTCCAAACGAAAAGTTACGATGGCAACTTTCAATTGGATTGTTGGTAGAATCTTGGGTCCCTCCTCCTCAGGATCTGGTACTGATAATTCATCGGGTTTAAAAATACGTTGTTGCAATTGCTTTATGACCTTTCCCAAGTTAGCCGCATTATCGGTGACATCGGCTAAGACGTATTTGTAAGGGATACGCGCATGAACTGCATCGGACTGAATTCGAATCATTTTACTTGCAATTGGAAGTTTGGTCACCGGATCACGTTTTGTATCATCATCTAACAACAGAATCCTCGTATTTTCCACATTTATCAGTTCATCCCATAACTCTTCCTCAACAGGACTAGTTCCATAAATCTTCAAATTCTTGATTTGGACACCGTGATCTTCCGGAGACGCGAACCTATATTTTAAGCTATCGACTCGTGTAAATAACTTTATACCCTCCGGAAGCTCAACCGAAATATTTGTGTGAACAATCGAGACGTCCGCCTCTATCAGTCTTTGATTTTTTTCCCTCGCAGGTTTCGAATGCGGAATATCCCTCGATGCATGGTTATTCGATGGTGGTATTAATTTAACGAGGTTCATTACTCCAACCAAACAACAATAATGATATAGCAATGAATAGGTAGCGTTCATCTCGGAAACTTTTGTACTGGATTTTATCGACAGCTCATAATTATGATTTACATACTCGACACCTAGGTTTCCACGAAGATCGGCATCCGGAATGTGTAATAATGGAGTTGTATTTTCGCACAGTTCCGAATCCCAAAGAGCTAATATCGGCGTTATCGTAAAATCTTTGATGAACCCATGAATCACACCCCCACTCTCACACTGAGTATTGTCATCATCGGCCGCAAGACCGAGTCCGATTCGTTCACTGAGACTTTGTGTATGTTCGATCGAAGCACTAGCGCCCTTATAGTCCAACGCGATTCCTTGAAATCTTATGTCAACGCCTCTCGACGTTGAAGGATCAATTTGTGAATCAACCTCTGCTATCCTCACGCCCACCGATGTAAGAGAGACGTGAACCAGCAGAGCTTCGAGATAAGTTAGCAAAGACTGAGAATTGTCAGGTGGTGGATGAACAAGTATCACTGGGTGTTCGAAATGGCAATCTTTCATTTCTTTCTTTTTTAGGCTCCGGATCGAAAAGACGTCGACGATATGTTGCAATAACAGAAAAGTGCTTTTTTCACAAATCCGAACATCGAACCCATCGAACGACAAACCAAAATCCATCTTGATCGTCTCCGGATCCAATGATGCGGCAAAGGATGTCGAATCCTCTTTATCTATATAACTGGAGATAGATCCTAATACCGAGGAGGCTAAATTTATCTCCCAGGAATGACTGTGCACCAAATCAGACTCCCTAGTGTATAACCTCATTTTCCTAGTTTTCATGCTTGAAACTAAATTATAGATCAACGAGAAATCGAGGGGTGTCAATCCTTTGTTGTACCTCCTCGACATCGCATATTTTTGTTTGTCTACAGGTAAATCATCCAATTCTACATAGTCGCCATTAATGTCAAACAATATATCTTGAAATCCAAACGAGAGTGAATTAATTTCTTGGGAAGTTGAAATTCCGGTTATTTTTATCTGTGGGTTAACCACAGATATGGTGGATATTATCTTCGGAAGATCTCGTATCCTCTGCTCTGTTCCTGGATCAGGTAAGTCATGGGTGGCTTTGAGAGGAGTAAATTGTTGATCCAAATCTTTCACGATGAAGGCGTCGAAGAACTCATCTATAGAATTAAGATGATCGAGAGCGAAAACTATTTCGGGGGAAATCATGTCCAGCGTTCCAATCAGAGACAAAGAATTTGGATTATACTCGTCAGTCTGGGTAAGTGGTTTGGAGAAATTGATCACACTCACAATTTTATCAACCTCCAACAATCCGACTGTTCCCTCCCTGTCTTTTACATCACAATAAATGCTATCTATTAAAAAGTCGAGCTTCAATTCGAGGAATTTTAATGCCTCCTCAGATACAACATCTTGATCAGTAATTTGTTGCAGTGAGACTGAAAACTCCGTTAACGAGAATTGGGCATTCTGCAAGGAAAGGAGGTCGCCAGAATGATTAGATTCAAAATTTGCAAATTTATATTCCACCTTAATACCCTTGGTTCGAAAAGTTGCAGATTTGAGAAACTCAAGAGGCATCTTTTTCCTTTTCCGCGGTGCCCTCGCTTTACGTTTTATCGAATGATCAAAGAAGTTTGCCATCGAAAATTGACGTCCAAACTTTGGAGGATTAATATTTTGGGGTTCTGCCTGAGGACCTCTAACCACTTTCTTGGGCATAGATGTCTCCACCGATTTAATCAGACGAAGGATTGAATCTATGCCCAAACCGATTTTATCAAACATCAAATCAACCTCAAATGTTATCAGAGAAGTACATGCAGGAGAAAGATGACACGACAGGGTGACAACCGAAGGAGAAGGGAATGAAACTGCCGGTGGCAAGCATTGTTGATTCATCTTATGCCGACTTGTGGTTGAGGAATGATTGATGGATGCGATATCTCGAATCTTTAGTTCCGAAAAAGTGAAATTGATGGTGAGAAGTTTACTTCGGAAAACATGACGATGATTACTGATGGAGTGTTTCTGTGAATTCTGTAATTTCTGATTTTGATTCTTATCAGATTGTTTTTCTTTTGCGTCCTTTGCATAAAAAATCATTCCCAAAGATATTCCATTCATGTTGAATCGACCCAAGTCCTCAATTAGAATGTCAATGCCGGTCACATTCACATCCACATAATTTGCTATCCCGGAAATGAAAAATTGTAGAGGAATCGCCGATAATTTAGCGACCACAAACTTAACCAGCCAAACATAAGACCACCACGCCTTCTGCGGCACGGCTACAATGAGACTAGGTTGCCTGGTGTGTATGCGCTTTCGCCGTTGATAATGGGTGAATAAGCATATCGAGGAGACAACTATTCTTAAATCGCTGATGATCAAAGTAATCCAGGTCTTGCGTTCGGAATTCGGCCGCCTTATCCGTATTTTAAATTTGCCGATGGCTATTGTGAAAGAGTGTTGACGAGTTCCGTAAGACTTGGTTCCGGAGTATGATAAATCAGATATGGAAAGGAAGCCCAAAGAACCAATATGGATTTTGTACTTTCTCTCGACGTAACTCACGATGCATTTTGTGCCATAGTACAATATCAAGCTTAATATTGTCAGTCCGATGAATGATTGAAATGATGTTGAATTGAGTATCATTTTTAAATTTATGATATTATGCGAAAAGAGAAAAATTTTATGTGAACGTCGAGGAAAAAATAAATGCACATTGATGCATGAAAATAATTTGTTTACAAATTTCAAAATATCAATGATGCACGTGTAATGTTAATTACATTTAAAGCTAGCCTTTCCCATGGTACGTCACATACACACAAGTTCGGCGTTTAAAATATCATCTTGGAGATTTGGTAGAATTGTGATACCTACGTACCACCGTATTTATTGATATTCGAAACATCCATGGAAACCACAAATCCGTAACAGAAATGGGGACCACAGACAAAGTTTTCTGAACCCCGGAATTGCAACATCCAGTTTCCCAGAAAATTTTATCCATACAGTATTCGATCGCGAGAACGTTGCCCGCCAAGATATTTGGATTCCCGGAATTAACTGAATCAAGAAGTTGTTTTCTAGTCTAAAAGATTTAAGTAACATATACAGTACTGTGAATGCATATACGATACATGTGTGCGAATACTATACCTCCTATCTCTTTAGAGATACCAAACTTGGCAAAGAAATGATTTTTCCAGTAGATCCTATCTATGGCTACGCAAATCGCTTTTTCATCAATGGACAAATGTTTGATGCGTACAAAATAAAATTCATTAGTAAATAGCGTTTGTGGATCATTCCATTTAGAAAATAGCGTTAAACATTTATGTTATTTATATTTGGTAAAATTGAAATACATTCGAGAAACAAAACGATACCTAAATCCGCAAATATCAAAGTGTACTCCATGATAATGACATTACATCATAAGCTTATCTATGCCGCAGAAAAAAAAAAGGATTTTCAGGGTTGTCAAGCCACAACTTGGGGAAAAGACTAGTAAAGTTAAATACGTACGCACACGCACACATGAAAATCAAAACCTTTTTTTTTTTTTTTTTCATAATTTGATCCAAGTGTTTGAAGATGAAGAACCCCAAAGATATGACAGATGAAGAGCTCTATCATGCTCTGAAAGCACGCAGAATTCGTCTAGGGGTAGCCAAAGAAATATCTACTACATATTCACCCACCCGCGTTGTACTCACCACCCTCTTTAACCCCTTGCATGCTATGACCAAAGCTAGTATTAACACCGGTGGTTCCCTGACCCATGATTACACTCAACTTAAATGTACTGAGATTTCCAAAGAACTTGAGAGACGCGGATTAGACTCCAAGAAGTATGAAAATGATACCGAAACAGTTGAAACAACCAATAAATGGGTTAGAGTTTGGAAAAGTGTAAAAATACTTGGTACAATTGTTGCTATTGATTGGTCGGAGATTCATGATATGATTTCGTTGGTCAGTGATATTGGTGACGTGGTCGGCGACTTTAGCGAAGTTATAAACAACATAAGTGAATTAATCTTGGACATTACCGAAAGTTCAGGGGATGCAATGGATCACATTGATATTGCGGTGGACGTAGTCGAGACTACTTATCACTCTCATGAATTGGTCAATCATATCGCTGAAGGAGTCGAGCATGCGAACAATATTGCAGATAACTTCCAGATGGATGGAGGCACTATTCAAGATTTAGCGGGCGAAAACGTTCAGCAAATAATGAATAAATTGAACGGAATTAGTCTAGAAAGTGTGAAAACCACCGTTAACTCGATATTTGTAAATGGTGATTTAAAAACTGTGGGGACGGCTATGGAAATCTCGGAAGTTGCCAATGATGGCATCAGTCTTGCCAATGACATTAAGAATGAAAAGTCACCCGCGAACGATGATTCTGTTAGCACCAACAATGACGGGAAAAGATGCATCATTGATGCACACCTTCAAAGTATTTATGAGGTAGCTCAAGCTGCCAACAAAAATATTAACGATGTAAGTCAAGCTGCCAACAAAAATATCATCGAAATAACTCAATCCGCCACAGAAACCATCAACCAAATTTTAATAAAGAAAAATTCCGAGGGTAAAAATTGACATCGCTTACGCGACCGGATTTTCGTGTATATCGCATTGAAAAATCGTTTAGAGTGTAATAAAAGAAATGAAAATAAAAAGATGCATTGTGTAAGCCGTGAGATCTTTCCCATCTAATGCGCATTGTCTACCCGCTGTCCATGTTCTCATAAAATCTTCGCGGTCGATCGTCGATCGTGTTACGTAAAAATTATATTGTATCATTTTCACGTGAAGCTTCCTAC